CCCCGCGCCGGCCGCCGCCACCTGGTGCCTCAGCGCTGCACAGAAAAGCGGAGTTACTTCCCAAGAAGTCCAGGGTTCAAGGTTGTTTTCCTAAAAAGCGTTCAGATTATATTTTGGTAGTAAAAAAAAAATGATGTTAACTTTTCTTTTTGCTTGACTGTACTGCACGTACTACGCATTATCAAAAAACAATTGCTGTAGGGAGACGCTGCCGGTCCGCGCCACAGCTGTGGCCCCGGCTCAGAGGTCTGCTGGAAAGAGGAGCTCAGCTCCGGCGCACACACCTTTCACACCACCGGTGGAACGTACCGGTGTCCTTCACCTCACCATTCGTGACTTTTCTCTCTACAAAGATGAAATGAAGCTTCATAAATAATATTTTAGACCTGGAGCTGCAAGAAATTCTCTGCCATGAGGAAGTGTTAGCAACCTTAATCTGAGGCGATTTATTTTCTTCACAGATAATGTACACGATCATCATTTCAATGTTCTGTTCTCAAAGTTCAGCAGTCACAACCAAGAGATGGGGAAGCGGAGCTGGACGACGGGTAATGTTCACTTCAGGACAGGTGATCCCTACACTTACAGGCAACCTCAGGAGCTGAAGCACAAATCCCCTAAAACAAGGTACGACAAAGCCTGGTTAGCTCTTATCCCACTACCTTGGGAAGATGCTCAGAGCGTGAAACGAGCAGAGCACGTTGCAATGTGGTGAGGGTTAGAGAACTGTTCAGCATTATGCACACTTACTTTAAAAGTAACTTACCCATCAAAGTTTATTTGCTGTGCATCGTAACTATTTCCATACAAAGGTGTTGTCCTTCCAAGCAGCAAAGACAGCGCGTCAGTTTTAGAATAAAGGAGCTTGCAGGAACACGTGAAAAAGCTCAGACATGTTTTGCTCAGGATCATCCACTCCCTCCACTGCAAGGGGAGTACCTGGCAAAATGTCATGCGGCAAATAATTAAAAAAAAAAAAAATCTAGATGGCAAAATCTCATGGGAATTAGATTAAGGAATCTGGAACCATGGAAGAAAAGCAGGAGACTAACTGAAAAAAATAAAATCAATCTTCATTTTTCCATTTTGAAAAGTAGTGTTATCTTGGCCATTATTATCTACAGTATCATACAACTTCTTCCATAAAGTGATCACAGTAGTAGCTACAGTCGGGTTTAGCCACCCCACACCATTGCCTTTACCATGCTTTAAAAAGCAGGGCACTAACTCTTACGGCAAGATGCCCCTAAGGGAAGTAACAGCCACTGCCCACCCACGTTTATTGGAATATGACTGAAGAATATACACCTGATTTTACACTGAATTTTTTACTCAAGCATTTAAAGAAATCACACCACCTAGAGGCAATGTGCCATTCTGCCTCTTGCAAAATCGTTCCTCAGCGATTAACTTGGAGAAGGGTAAGAACACTGTCATTTAAACCGAATTATAGCAAGTATCAGCTGCAGCTCAAAGATCTCATTCATGGTTTTCAGAGTCAAGGCAGTATATTGATTATGTTACTAACACAAGGAAAGAGCAGCCCACACTGAGAAGGAAGAAATGACAAGGCATCTACGTGGTTAATTATAATTAAGACGACAACACCATGAGATTCCAGTTATATATGTAAAGCAAATATCTTACACCTGAGGGGAGATTATCCAAACAAAATATACTCAGGGGGAAATAAAAGACTGAGCAGCTGGTATGGGTGAAGAAAACCCTGGAGTGTAAAGCTCTGCAGCAGATCAGACCAGAGCTGCAATGGGATACAGCTGGAAAACACAAGCACGCCCTCCCCTCTGCCTGCCTCGGCTGGTGTGGCAGAGGTAGGAACAGCATTGGAACAGGCTGCCCAGGGAGGTGGTTGAGTCACCATCCCTGGAGGCGTTCAAAAAAAACGTGTAGATATGACACTTCAGGACATGGTTTAGCAGGCATGGTGGGGTTGGGTTGACGGTTGGACTGGATGATCTTCAAGGTCTTTTCCAACCTATGATTCTATGATCCCCCATATAACTGAGAAAAAACAAGTTCATCTCATTACAGTCCCAGCAGAACCTCCTGGTGCAGCTTATGCAAAGAACACAATGCAACCAATTTAACAGCTCAGGGAAAAGGTACCTCAGGAATATCAGCGACGAAAGGAAATCGAGTGACAGAGGAAACCACAGAAGTGAGACTGAGCAATGCAAGCACAGTTCTGTCGTTGCCTTTTTTGAGTAACATGCCCCTAAAGGAAGTTATTCAACATGTACATTTTATTGCAAAAACTGAAATAGGACAAGTCAGATGAGCCCTTCGGGACATGGCAGCTTTCTCCAAAAGTGAACTAAACAAATGATCCTCACAGCAAAGACCACTGGGACAGACACCTGGAGACCACAGGTCCTCTGGCAGACTGTGTCAGGCAGCTGGAAGGGCAGAAGCTAACACACTGACTTTAAGGTGATGAACCACATGGACCTCTTGCAACAGAAGGAGTAATCAGGCATCAGTTACTGCCATTTTGCAGAAAGTTTAAGTCACATCAGCTGCGGATGAAACAGAGCAACTCACACCTCCTGCCACTGCAACAGACTTCCCCTGCAAAGCAAAACAGGCTTCCTAAAACCACTGCTGAGCAAATAGAAGTATTTCAGTGCTGCAGCAGAAGCTTGGGCTCACCTGTTTCCAGTGTACAAAAAGGTCCCAGAAATGCCACCAGGCATTTTTTTCCTAAATCTTCTGCTCCTTTCACCTTCCTCAGAGAAGGGCAGGCCTGCCAGAGCCACCACAGCACCACCAGCAGTGGTCTGGGGGAGGAACAACAGAACAAGCATGAGCCTGACAAATTTTTCGGGTAGAGAAGAGGCTGCAGACAACCTGAACTCCCACAGTCTTTACCAGGCCTAACTTTTTTTCTTCTGTGAAAGACGTATCCATTTGGGGTTTGTGCTCTCTCCTTCTCAGCAAGCCACCTTGAATGTACAAGAATTTAACTTCTCAGAGATGTTGCTCACTAAGGGCAAGGCCATCTCGGGCATCTGAAAAACAGCCACAGTGGAGGGACACGATTAAAGAGACGAGAGAGGCAGAAATAAATCACATCCACTGGTAGGGGTGAAGAGAGGCTTTCTCTGCTGTAGGACCCCGTGAAATGCACAGGCAGAAATCCCCCAACGATCTCACTAACCAGTTGCCAAACTAGTTTGAGTTGAAAGTCCCTGATCTGCTAGTTAGAAGACAACACAGGGTTACTTCTCACATACCTGAACAGCTTGGAAGAAATGAGCAACAGAGTGTGTAAAATGCTCATCCCCTCACGCGTGCACGCACACAGCAGCTGCAGCAGGCACTTTGTACGGGGTGCAGCCTACGTTGGCACAGCAGCAGCAGGAGGGGAATACGCGAAGATATACCTTACTTAGGAATGCTCACGCGCTGTGTTAAGTAGCGTGGTAATTAAATCGTTAGTCACATTGACAAGTGGGTGGAAGAGGCTGGAAACGTCTGATGCAGTTTGCTACAGGCAATTACAGATTTACCAGCGATACATCTGTCACACACAGAGATGGGCACAGACCCAAGTACCTGCAACAGCTCAACTTTAGCCCATTTCCCAGAAGTAAAATGGAACAAAGACACCAGCGCTGCATCCATGGGGCTGTGGAACAGCCCAGACCCACTGCCAACCTACCGCATGTGAGCAGCTGTACGATTTCACATGCTCAGATATTCATGCAGGCAAAAACTTGCAGAGGCTAATCCTTATCCAAAGATCTGGGAATTTCCCTTCTTGAAATTCTCCCTAATAATACTAACTAGTTCTGTAGCACTTATGTGCCCCTGGTCCTGTTATGTGGCTTATCTCACTTGGCCACTGTGTGACAAAAGGCTCGCAGGCTCAGCAGAGGAGATCTGACAGCAGTGCAGTAAATACCTAACCACTCTCTTTCGTAAGCATCTGCCACTCACATCGAACCAACTCGTCTTTGCAACGATGTAAAATTTCCTCTAAAGCACAAAACTGAAAAGAAATTCTGTCTTAATGAACTAAATTTTACATGGGAGCTGACAGTGAAAAACTGGATCTTGTACTCCAGAGCACCAGCCCTGTTTCACCATCAGCCTCAAAATTCTTCCATGTAGAGGGATATAATTAGGAAGGCATGGGAAGAAGGGCAACAAATGGTAACCTGTATTAGAGACACCTCACTTGCTGCGCTGGTCCCACTCCACAGAGAAGCCTGTGCAGCTGGTACCTTTTCTGAGTCCAGAATTCTCAAATTCTTCAGAAATGAACTGTTGCTAGAGAAAAACCAAAGGCTTG